AGAACATCATCAAATCAATGAATTTGCAGGAATATAAAGTTTTCTTTTTAAACAAATTCACTGAAGTAAAAACAAATTATATTTAATTTTAAAATCGTGCAAGTGTCTATATTTTAAAAATTGCAAAGATGTTTCACCAAGAGTGGAAAATTAGAGAACACTAACAGAACGTGACTTCACTAGCGAAGACTGCATACTGTGTATTTGTTTATAATGGGGAGGGAAGATGAAATCTTTATCTGTGTTGCATTAATCCACATCAGGACTTACCTCTGGTGACCGCGTCTAGTGCACAACCGCTTCCTGTTGCTCCTCCTCCAATAACAAGGATATCAAATTCAGACGTGTTTTGCAAAGTCAGTAGCTGAGCTTCTCTGGACGGAGGCTCTCTGTTAACAGGTTCTGAAATGTACTCTGCTGCTTCAACGTAGGCCAGGTTCACCTGATATTAAAAAAAAAAATCATTTTCAGTTGTTCATCTGAAATGTCAATTTAATAAATTTTACAACATACTAAAAGAATAGATTTGTAATGGATATACTGAATACCAGAGCAAGACTATATAGTCCATAGCCCACATGGAGCTAAAGGACCAACTGCCTTTGGGGGGAAAAAATTCCTTAAAATTCCAGGTGTGTTTTTTTTCATGAATCACAACTATTTAGCCACAGAACATCTGGTTTCAGATTCAATATCTCAACTTGCTTGTTTTTGTTTCATATACAGCTAAGTTCAATTATTTCCAAAACTATATAGCAATTCCCAAATACTTTATCTAAGACAATTAATAGGGAAACATAAGCAAATGTTTTACCCAGTGGCAGCAATTCATTCAGATAACATTTTAAAGTGCCGAAGGAGGAAGAAAAAGCACTTTATATCTTTTTGCAATTTCTTAAAAGTATATGTTCTTCATTCCTCAACTCTTCTGACAAAAATATATTCTGGAGTTTGGGGACTATAGATTTAAATTGGTACAATGAAAAAGAATCTGTTCAACCAGAAGTTACTATCTAGTTTTAATAATCAGCTATGTCCAATGAGAATGTTATTTTCCAAAGATTCTACTCAAAGGCTTCCCTGTTAAATATTTTAATATAAAATTACAGATTATATATACTTAATGTATACTATTCCAGTTTTGAAAACTTGAATATAATTAAAGCCAGACATAGTCCCCCTAAAAGATAATGACCTTTCCTATTTCTAGTTCTTTTTTAGAATATAACTTATCATCCTAAATCAGAAATGATACTGGACTTTAAAAAGAAAAGTAATTGCCAGAGCCCAGAAGTTAGAGTAAAAAATCCAGAAAAACAGGTATCTTTTTTTTCCAAAATGCTAATACTAGGTTCATACACTATATTGAACAGTGCTGGCCAGCATTGCTCTATTAGTATTCTACAGATAAGTGACTTCCATTTTCTTTTCTTTAAATCACAGCAACAGCACAATCCATGATAGTGGGTTTTTTTTCCCAGTCTGCCACACAGGAAGCTTTGAACCAGCAGGCCAAACCTGGTTCATGAAGAGGTGATCTTATTAGCACTTACCAAGAGATTGTTCTGATCACCCAAGATAAGCAATTTTTTTGTTCATTTAAATAAAATAAACCAAATTATCCCTATAGTTTTATTTAATTATTACCAGGCCAACTGGATTTTTATGAAAATAAAGAAACCATAAGATAAGGTACATTGAAAAAACCTGGTACAAAAGCAATTTATGTAACCAAAACATTTGTACCCCCGTAATATTCTGATATTAAAAAAAAAAAAAAAAAAGGATGCCAGGCACGGTGGTTCACACCTGTAATCCTCGCACTCCGGGAAGCCGAGGCAGGAGGATCATTTGAGCCTAGGAGTTCAAGACTAGCCTGAGCAAAAGCGAGACCCTATCTCTACAAAAGATAGAAAAATGAGCCGGGCATCATGGCACATGCCTGTAGTCCCAGTTACTCAGGAGGCTGAGGCAGGAGGATGGCTTGAGCTCAGGAGTTTGAGGTTTCTGTGAGCTATGATCACGCCACTGCAGTCTACCCAGGGTGACAGAGCGAGACCATGACTCAAGAAGAAAAAAAAAAGAAAAGAAAAAATTCTGGATTAGGGTTAGAGGGTCCCAGGTTAAGTCTTAGCACTTGTTTACCAGCAATGTGACTTTTGACACATTATCTCTGCGGCTTCATCTTTGTAAAATAGGGATAAAATCCCTGTGATGTCTCTATCTTTGCATCTCTGGGTTATCCTCAATCTGAATGGAATAATAGTATGAAAATCATTTAGGTAAATGACAAAGTGCCACCAGAGAGGAGTTGCTGTTATTGTTACTATTATCATTAAATAATTTGATTCTTTAGTAGTGTATAATAAGTAACTTTTAAAACATATTTTACTAAGTATGGTAAAAACAAAAGGTTATAATCAGATACCATAATTTTTCAAGCTATGCCAATTTTTCATATGCCAAGCCCCCAAAATTTTATTCTTCACATAACTCCTCTTAATTATCTGCTAATAACGATGTCCCCATTTTTACCTTTACATAAATTTAAGGTAACAAACTAAATAAATGCAACTACTCAGTACTATGGAGAACATAACATCCTTCACTTATGGTCTCTGCCTTCCATCATCTAATGAGAAGAAAAAAATATATATATATATACACGTATATACAATATACGCATATATAACAATTATGTAGAAAGAACAACACCAAACTAGAGGGGAAAAAAAAACACCAGGCTACAACCATATAGATGAGGGAGTCATTTGAGGGTTTCAATTGTGCCATGACAGATGGGTAGGACTTGGACATGAGACTGACAAGTGACTAAACTAAACCGCCAGAGTGTTTTCACACATCAGAAGAATTGCTGACATTTTCTGTTTGGTAAGTTTTCTAGAAATACTTGAGAAATAAGTTTAAAGAACACGTTATGATATAGTTCATTAGAACTCGGTAATACTAAAAGCCTCCTATTCCACTCTGTGAATATTAAACTCTACTGTATGGGTTTCTTCTTCAGCAAGTATGCTAGATCTGATGGACATCACTCACACGCGTGAGGATCTCATTCCATCGCCAACACTGTTTCTCCTATCTTCACCCCCTCCCTCACCCTTCTCTCCAGCAAGCTCTAACCTGTCTCCTCATAACAAACAACAAAAAACACTTCTTACATATGTTTCTAACAACCACCCTAAAAATTCTTAAAAGACCTGTAAATCCTTGCTTTTTCTACTGCCTTCCTCCTTACTCACTCCTCAACTCACTGTAATCTGTAACTCACATACACCCCACTACCACCAACACCACCAAAACTGAATAATGCCCACCACGCTACCAAATAATCCAAAAAGCCCACAACTGATTGATTGGTTCGCCTACCTGGACATCGGGGGACAGTTCTCTCTCCCCAGCCTCTCCGAATCACTCTCTCTCAGCTTCCTTTGAATGTCCCTCTACTGTCCAACATTAAACACCAAAGTTTCTCTTGGAGCTACCCTATTCACTTTTTTCAGATCACTAATAACTCTCTCTCAAGAATCTCATCTACACCGTACTGTCAAATATCCTTTATATCACAATGACTTCTAATTTTGTTCCCCCATTCCAGAAGCCAGATATCAAACTACCTAACTGCTGTCTCAATTTGGATGTCTCACATGTGTCCCAGAATTGATCTGATGACTTTATATGCCCAAACCTTTTTTCTCTGTCAGCGTTCCTTATCTCTGTAAGGATGCCATTACACAGGTAGTTGCTGATGCCAGATATTTTGGAAGTATCCTTGACAGCTCCCATTCTCTTCAGTCCCATATCTGATCAATCTCTGAGTCCCATAGATTCTACCTCCTAAAAAATTCTCACATCTAGTCACTTCTTCATCTTCACTGCCCCTTCTCAAGTCAAGGTATCTTCCCTTTCCCCTATACTAATGGGATATCCTGCCAAAGGTCTTCGCATATTTACTCTGCCTCCTCCTAAATCATTCTCCACACTGCAGGTGGAAAAATCATTTTAAAACCCAAATAATGTACAAAACCCATGTACAAAACCCTTCAAGAGCTTCCAACTTAATTTATCTGGTTTCTAAGACTCCTCATAGTCCTTTGTAATGGCTAAAATTTAAAAAAAAAAAAGACAATATCAAGTGCTGGTGAGAATGCAACACAATTAAAACTCTCTTATATTGCTTGTGTAAATGCAAAATGATACAGCTATTTTGAAAAACAGTTTGGGAGTGTCTTACAAAGGTAAACATACTTACCATACAACCCAGCAATCCCCTCCTAGGTAATTGCCCAAAAGAAATAAAAACCTATGTTCACACAGAAACCTGCAGACAAATGTTTACAATGGCTTATTCATATTTGCCCTAAACTGGAAAAAACTCAAATGTCCTTCACCTGTTGAATGATTAAATAAACTGTGATACATCTATGCAATGGAATAATAATCGGCAATAAAAAATAACAAACTACTGATACACCCGACAATATGAATGAACAACTGCATTATGCTAAATCAGGTGTTGGCAAATTATGGTCTTCAGCCCAAATCTGGCTGCCACCTGTTTTTGTAAAGAAATTTTTTTTTTTTTGAGACAGAGTCTCACTGTGTTGCCCGGGCTAGAGTGCCGTGGCGTCATCCTAGCTCACAGCAACCTCAAACTTCTGGGCTCAAGCAATCCTTCTGCCTCAGCCTCTTGAGTAGCTGGGACTACAGGCATGTGCCACCAAGCCTGGCTAATTTTTTCTATATATTTTTAGTTGTCTGATTAATTTCTTTGTATTTTTAGTAGAGACGGGGTCTCGCTCTTGCTCAGGCTGGTCTCGAACTCCTGAGCTCAAACAATCCGCCCGCCTCGGCCTCCCAGAGTGCTAGGATTACAGGCGTGAGCCACCACGCCCGGCCCAAGAAATTTTATTAGAACACAGCCACACCCAATAATTCATGTATTGTCCATGACTGTAACAGCAGAGTTGAATAGTTGCAACAGAGACTGTATGGCCTGCAAGCCTAAAACATTTGCTCTCTGGCTCTTTACAGAAAATTCCCCAACCTCCATGCTAAGACAAAGAAGCCAGATTCAGAAGTCTACATATTACATGACTCCAGTGATTGTTTATACCATGTTCTGTAAAAGCAAAACTATAGAATCAGAAAACAGATCAGTGATTGCCAGGGTCTGGAGATAAAGGAAAAAGAACGGACTACAAAGGGCATGAGGAAATGTGTGCAGATGATAGGAACACTCTATAGCTTGATTGTGGTGGTGATTACAAAACTGTATGTACTTGTCAAAACCAATAGAACTATATGTATACATAAAGGGCATATATAATGTGTATATTATAAAGGGTGATTTTAAAGTCAATATACTTGACTTTAAAGTATGTATAAAGCACTTATGTGCCAGACACTTATAAGGGTTTT